AAGTATTACAATTACAAAGTAATCCATTTAGTCATCTTTATTATTAAAAAAAAAAGGAAAATGGATCAATAACATCATTAGCAATGCTGTTTGAGATAAGAATTTTCTGTTTTTTGTAAATCTGTCATAAGCTTCTGATTCATCTTAACTTCTGGGTTCAGTAGTCTCAGGGATCTTAGTATATCTTACTATATAATGACGAAAACTCTGTCTGTGTGTGGGTGTCTCTGTTCCACGTTTTTCTCCTCACTGACTTGGTCAATCCATGTGAAATTTGGCACAGTGGTAGAGGGTCATGGGAGGAAGTGAATGAAGCAATATGACATCAATTGGCCAAAGGGGGCGCTATAGCAACTGATTGAAATTACAAACTTTGAATGGGCATATCTCATGCCCCGTATGTCGTAGAGACATGAAACTTTGCACAGAGATGCCTCTCCTCATGAGGAACAAATTTGCCTCAAGAACCCATAACTTACGGTTACATAGATTTTCCGCCATTTTGAATTTTTTGAAAAACACTTAAAATCGATCGCTTCCTAGGAAGTTTGAGTGATCTGCATAAAACTCTGTGAACATAATCTAGGGACCAATATCTAAAGTTCCCTCTTGGCAAAAGTTGGAAAACTTACTAAAACTGAGCTTCTATAAGGCAATGAATATTGCAGAGGGTGTGGCTCATCACATAAAGGTGTATAACATCTCAAGGGTTTCACCAATCACCATGCAACTTTGTAGGCATATGACCACACATAATCTGATGGGATCCCTCCATTATTGACCTTATCAAACAAAATGGGGGTGCTTGAGATCTAATTTCTTATCTAGGCCTAACCGCCATATCTCTGTTTTACTAAACTTGGTAGATATGTAGAACAGGACGCCTCATGGTAACTGGAGTAATGTAACTCTAATTGGCAACTGGGTGGCGCTATAACAACAGAAAAATGCTTAAAAATGGCTTAAATGCGACCGATCGCTGTGGCTCCCCCTGTGGCCGAATGTTGTTGTTTTTTTCTAATTTTTAGTGTGACTGAGTCATGGTATGCTGTACATAATCATAGAATCTGTCAGTGTGTCATTCTGTCAGTCAGTCAGTCATTCTACCAGTGCACTCCACATTTAAGTCAATACAACATATAAACACTTTAACTATCTGCCTTTCAACGTGCTACCTCAACTTCTAATGTACAGTTTTAGCCCACTAACTATCCTACTATTGGCAATGGTACTACTGTACTTTCAATAAAGCAATCGTACTATCAAATTCACAAAAACTCTGTCTGAATACATTGCTCTTCTTAATGGGTTCATTTGACAATTTAATCTGCAATTTCCTATGACCTGTATCCCAAACACACACACAATGTGAAACTGTACGTGGACAACTATACACTCAATGAGTATGGACTAGTTGAAAGTTAATTAACCATATGACTGGCTTTTTTTTTTTTTTTTTTTTTGTAATTTGTACTTCCTGTATGCTGACAGTGTTGTGGCTGCAGCCTTTTTGCAACATGGCAAAATGGCCAATCGCACTGCCCATGTCTCTGATAGGTTACTGACCTGCTGTTATCATTTTACTTTAATGCAATAACTGTGGTACTGTTTCCTGCCTTATCTGCAATAAACCTCACAACCTCCTGTCTGTGTGTCATTAAGACTCTAGCTCACAACCACCAGGGCAAACAAGTTGTTTTTTTTTTTAGGGGGTGGTTGGGATTGCATTCTGTATTTTGGGAATATTATGGAATTACAGGATTTTTTTTCTTCCAGACATGAGAGAACAGCAGCTTGTAGTGCAACAAGAGAATAATAAAAACTAATGAAGTTTATTTGACATCTACAACATAAATTGCATTTTCACAGTTATCTGGCTGACTTTGACGATCTTGCTTCTTGAAGTAATTCAAGTGTACATAAGGCTACAGTCCCTGGTTCATTCATAGCCCTTAAGGTTGGATACATACTTAAGTAAAAAAAAATCTGCTTTTTTTTTTTAAATTAATGAGATTATTATCTCAGCATTCTGAGAAATATGTAGGGAGAGAATATATATATATATATATATATATATATATATATATGATTTCTGAGCTCGTCTAGAAAAACAATTAACATTTTTTTTCTATGAAAACTTTTTTTCAAAATTCTGAAATTATTATCTCATTCATTAAGAAAGGCAGAAAATAAAAACATCAGAATTTTCATAAAATTACCTCATTAATTCAGAAAAAAACTGCATTTCTTTTCTAAAGAGAATGTATAATACTTTCATAGATGTGTAGGATATATAGAGCAGGCCAATTTCATATGGATAGTTAGTGGAAAACTTTAATTCCTCTGCTGCTGATGTCTGGGTGCATTCAGAAACAACCTCTCTAAGCCACACTGGTAAGCACCTCGTTTTGTTGCTGTCTAAATAGAGAGATACCTCACATGAAGAAACATCTGCAACAATCTCACACCACATGCGCAGCATTTATTAAACATCGCCTTTTTGACGACCGATGCCCAGCAAAGCGACCAGAGAATCAGGACAAAGAAAACCAACACGCTGCATGACGCTTGTTAGCGGGTGAAGTTTGTCTTCAGGGCTTTCTGTCAGAAAGGGATTCCTACTTTTAGGTTAGAAAAAAAATCGTGGTTTGGGTTAAAATGAAAAGATTTTAATGCCTGAAGGCGAACTTCTCCCGTGTGATGCCCACAACGGAAGCGGTTTCCACTGGGACACTAATAAGTGACGCACCTGGATGGGACACCTGTTGCCATGGTTTGAGGCTCATGAAGTCATTGAATTTGTTGTTGGAAATCTCCTCAAAAATGTAAGTTAATTATCTCCACCAGGCTTAAGCCTACATGAATGAGTTCTGGTGTGTGTTTGTGTGTGTGTGAGAATGAGTAAGTGTGTGTGTGTTATTATCTGTCAAAAGCTAATCTCGCAAACTACTGGACCAGTCAGCCTCATATTTTGTGTGCACATGAATGACTGTATCCTCAAGGACCTCTCTTGGTTGTGGTGATTCACAATTATTGGAAAACCCTTTATTGACTGTTTTACCGTCACTGACTGCTGACTCATCGTAACCGGCCGGTAGAGGCCACAAAATTTCCAGAAATCATCTTGGCTGAAAACAGTAAACCTTCCCTCTGTTGCAGGCGGGTCATACCGGTCACACCACACCGACTGTGTTTCAGAAGCCGATGTTTCGCCTGCCTGTTTGTAGGATCCCTCAGAGGGATTTGGTCATTTTCCTTGGTAGTTGTGCCTCTATTGTAAGTAAATAAGAAGGCAGTAAAAGGGTATCTTTGTTGGTGTTAGATGTGTTTACTGTCTTTATTTCCTACCTTGTTGTGCTGTAGCCTGTTGACAAAATTAGTACCATTTGAAGTCCAATTATGAATACATGGATTTACGATTTGTAGCTGTGTTTTAGTTGTTAAATTTGAAATTGTGATATCATAAGGTAAAAAGTATGGAACTGCTCCATAGACAATGAATTAGGAAAAATGTTCTATGTCACTGAGAGCACATATATGGGTATGTTATGGGTACATTATGTGTCAGAGCTGAGAACACAACAAAAGAGCTTATTTGGATATAAAAGAGCGAACAAACATTCTGTGCAACACATTCTCACTCCGACCTCGCCACATATTGACGTTTCATCATGGACCTTCCACATCCAGGTACGACATGCAAGGTACCCTGGGTGGGTTGGTTGTTGATGTTCTGGGACGGCGTGTCAAGTTCTACCTGTTACATGCATTGTCTCCTTTCAAAATACACTTCAGTTCACAGGAAATGTAATGTTTACATGCAGTCTCTTTCAAAATAAACACACTATGTTGGTACAACACAGCAAATTGAATAGGATTTGGCTTTATAATCTCACAGGACACAAATGCCGCTCTCCCAGGTGAAAGTCGCGACCTTAATTATCGTTCTTGTCCCACTGCGTTCCCCCCTTATGCCGGCGAGTGCCATTAAACTCTAACTGCAACCGGCCGTGTATCATACTGATGTTAAAGGAAGGCTTTTTTTCATCAGTGTCCGATGCCACAAGTCATGCCCAAGCGCCAAATTTTCGCCGACTTTGGACGAAGACTGGGTTGTTGTCCGGGTTCACAAAACCAGGTTCTCATTAGTTGTCTATGGAGCAGCTCCACACTTTATACCCTATGATATCCCAAGTTGTCTGGTTTCTGGCTTTGAGAGAAAGTTGCTTGTGTTCACAGATATTGATTGAACCTAGGCCTGGAAGGGGGATCCCTCCTCAGTTGCTCTTCCTGAGGTTTCTCCCATTTTTTTTCTCCTGTTAAAGGTTTTTTTTCTTCTTTGGTGGAGTTTTTCCTTATCCCTTTGTCCTTTTGGATCTTCACTGTGAAGAAGGCAAATTATGATCTCTGATATTGGGCCTTATGAATAAAATTGAAATTAGAATAATATATTATAATCTTTAAGTGGTGTTCCCCTTTAACTTTCATTTACTGTTAATCTAGGCTTTGTTAGCATTTGCTTATTAAACAGAATGTATCATGCCATGTTACATTTTTTGGATGGGAGTGCCATCTTATGAGGACCACGCTGTGTACCCGTTCCCGCTAAAATTCATACATGTTACGCCTATGTTCTAAGACAGTCCAGAAAATATAAGTAAATATACGTAAACATGAACAACTCTCTCAAATCCTGAAACTTAAACTCGTGATGTCATAGGGTCTAAAGTCTGGAGCTGCTTCATAGACAGTAAATTGGGAAAGATGTGCTTGATGATACTGAGACGACCCAGGGGAATGTCCTGAGTGTATGGGAATATTTTCTGTTTCAGAACTTAGAACAGTACAATAGATTAAAGCTCATTTGGGTATAAAAAAGAAAACATTCTGTGGGTCCACAATATCAGTCTCACGTTCACTCTCTTTCCTCATATTTTCAGATATTTCTTATGCTTTATTGACCTAGTATTAGTCTAGTGGTGTGTAATGAAGAAGTAAACACATGTGAACATATTACTTAGTGTAATTTCATTTATTATTATGCATGGCTAAATCAAGCATATCTGAACAAGTGATCTGAGGTACATTTTGAGAACACTATTTCTGAGGCAGTCGAAAAATTCTATCATAGCATGGCAACACATCTGTGTATCTGACTACAGACAGAAGGAGACCTCGTGTTACTCTTAAAGGGAATGTTAATTTAAAAAAAAAGTCACTCTCCCAAAGCACAAAATGGCCTTGATACAGAATACTGTACATTAAGAGATGGTTCAGTGAATCATTGATCAGTACCAGAAACTCACTAATGACTTCATTGGAGCGTCTGACTTTCATGCTTTCTGCAGTTTTCTTTTTTCATTTAGCTTTAAACAACTAGCCTTTTCTTATCTTCTAATAATTGTCATTTATGCCAATTACAGGCCACTGAAGCTCAAGCACAGATGAAGAAGAGCAGATGAAGAAGGCTGTGCCAGAGACTCAGGTAGAAAACAGGTTCAGTGTTACATCTGTGTTGTTCTACTGGTCGGCAATAGAAGCTGTGAATCCCTTTATATTTCCAAAACTCATATTAAACCCCTTAATTTTTTATGTAGAATGAAGGCATTTTATGTGGGACCACATCATGAAGGTCACACAAATCCATGCAGGGTTTAAAACCTTTAGCTGTCTCGAAGCATGACGGTGTATTATGGTTGAATATCTGCCCCAAGGACAAAGTGAAACTGGGCACTTTCATCATGTAGCTCTCTGACGTCGCCATTTGTTAGTAAACTAGTCCCAGTCTGTGATTCACACAGGAAAAATGCAGTCAGTCTGTCAGAGACTCCTGGCATGAGAGCGAGTCAAGTGTCAGTTCTATAGTGTGACCACAGGGTGGCGTGGTTTCCTTCTGCAAAGTCTCAGCCTCAGTCAGTGGGGCTCAGCAGCCACTTGGTCACAGTGGAAGGCACATTCAGGATGGCTCAGTAGCCAACAGGCACATTGTAAGGACTGTGTGTGTTTGTGTGTGTGTTAAATCTTGGGCCTCCAGCCCTGTATGAATTGTGTGATCTTGGTGACATGGAGTCGGCTCAGGTGGAAGTCATGTGACAAGATGTCCTCGGTCAGCTGCACCAGGAGGCTGCCGTCAATTCGCTCCCTCTGGAACACAGCCACCGCTGCCTCTGATAGGCCGATGAACCGTAGGCAGGCTGACACCTCCTCCAATGACAGCACAGATAGGTCAGCAGGGGGTCGCCAGGTAGGGTCAGGGGGCTGGGACAACCCTTCAGTGACCCCCGTGGATGTCCCACCACCCTCTGCACCTCTGGAGGAATCTGTCGTGGGATTGGCAGTGGGCTCGGGTGAGGGACAGGGGGACTGGCGGTTGAAGGGGTTCAAAGCTCCGAAGGGGGCAAATCGACTCTGTGGCGGTGGCGGCCTCAGTCGAGGTCCGGAGGAAGTGAAGGAATCTACCCACGGCTCTGCCCAGGTGGCCTGTGCTGGCTGAGGAGTGGCCGTGCTGTCTGCAGGGGTGGCGGAGACTGGCTCAGGACTGGCAGGGTTAGGGGCCGGGCAGTCCGCCCAGGAGCATGGGTAACAGTAGAGGGAAGCATCTGGGGAGGGCGAGCAGCTGGGACAGAGCGGGAGAAAGCGACATTAGCTTCTAGTATCAGTCGGTATAACTATTCCATGTGAAGAACTCAAATCATATACATTTTATTGGTGTAACGTTTATAGTCTTAATAATCATATATCAACAAGTCATTTCATCTCAAGGTCCCTTAAAGGTGCTATATACAACATTCAGAACATTAGTGAAGCAGCAAACAAGTATTAGCAATGTAGAGATATAGTGGACTAATCACAGAAATATAATAAATAGAAACAACAGTTTGCCGTGGTCATTTGACTATTTTATCGGAAAATGTTGATCGCTATTATGGTGATAACACACTGAGACTGTATAGTGTGTCATACTTACTACTAGTTCAAGAACTCTGTTTTGTCCTACTGCTGTCTTTTAAGTGATCAGCAGCATTGACATCTTTGCAAAGGATGTAGGATGTATTTATAATTGGCAGTGCTGGGAGTAACATGTTACAAAGTCAGAACTTAGATGACTTTTTTTGTAATGGGTAACGTCATGTTTTAGTTTTGTAATTCAAGTAATCAGTTATTTAGTTGTTTCCAAATAAGTAATCTGTTACTTTTAAAATATTATATATTTACTGTATTACCCTGTTTCTTTTGTTGCCATGAACTGCATATTTTTGGAAAAATGCCTCAGAAGATCGAGTGAAAGCCACTGCTAAATGGACAGCTGAGAGGCAGAGATCATGAGGATAGACAGCATGTAGATCTGCATGTTTTCGCATCTAACTTGGTGTTTAGTTCAACCGAACTAGAGTTGGTCATTGTTGGAACAGCAGAAAGGCAGATGCTTAACAAGATGGTGTTGTCTCTGTTGAGTTTGAATGAACCGTGTTTTATGAAGAGTTAACAAGGCAAACAGGCGAACGTTAGTCTTAGTTTGGTGAAAGAGAGAAACTTATATTGGCGTATAGTTGTGTTTTTCAATGTTTAACAAGGACAAAGGACTTAACTTTATTTATTTTGTTATGTTAGATATGTTCAAAGGTAGTAAAGTCTTGTAAACACATCTCCCAACTGAAACTGGCAAACATACTCTAGCGAGTCCCTTTTCTGACTGGGTAATGCTGTAACGTAAATCCAGCAATCCTCAATTCCTCTCTAGCAGCAAGGCAATGGAGACAGTGCACAAAAGATGCTTCTACATGCTTCATACAGTACTACCACGATACTGCTCATTTGGTTGTTACTGCAAAACCTCACCTCGGTGAATTTGCAACTGGCTGCAAGTCAGTTTGTGAAAATGGAAGTTTATCAGGCTCCCAAGTATGCTTCACCCTGCTTCTAATTTTCCCAGTGGCCACTTGTGGTATTGCAGCAAAAAAATCCTGGTGGTCCAAAAAGCATTTTCCCCATAGGCCACCATTGTAAAAGAGACATCTGTGAAACTGTTGACAGGACATCTTGAACTGCAAACAAGGTCAATTATGACTCTTTCTATTGTGACTTTATGATCCTTGGAGGTTTTTTATTTATAAAATGTTGCTTTAGCTGACGAAAGCGATTTAAAAAATCTGTGATGTCATCACAATGTAAAGTCTATGAGCCTAGGAGGAACTTGAGGCCTGAGCCACCAGCAGGAGAAACACTACCGCAGATATTCAGTTGGTCGCAAACCTCGTAAGTAAACCCTAAAGCTGGAAACTTTTTGACACATGCACCAGGCGAGCGATTCCACTGAACTAAATAGATGCCGTCTGGTATCTACACTGAACAAAAATATAAACAAAACACTTTTGTTTTTGCTCCCATTTTTCATGAGCTGAACTCAAAGATCTAAAACATTTTCTAAACACACAAAAGACCATTTCTCACAAATATTGTTCACAAATCTGTCTAAATCTGTGTTCGTGAGCACTTTTCCTTTGCCGAGATAATCCATCCCACCTCACAGGTGTGGCATATCAAGATGCTGATTAGACAGCATGAATATTGCACAGGTGTGCCTTAGGCTGGCCACAATAAAAGGCCACTCTGAAATGTTCAGTTTTGCTTTATTGGGGGGGGTCTCGGGGGGTCAGAAAACCAGTCAGTATCTGGTCTGACCACCATTTGCCTCACGCAGTGCAACACATCTCCTTTGCATAGAGCTGATCAGGTTGTTGATTGTGGCCTGTGGAATGTCGGTCCACTCCTCTTCAATGGCTGTGCAAAGTTGCTGGATATTGGCAGGAACTGGAACACGCTGTCATATACGCCAATCCAGAACATCCCAAACATGCTCAATGGGTGACATGTCCGGTGAGTATGCTGGCCATGCAAGAACTGGGATGTTTTCAGCTTCCAGGAATTGTGTACAGATCCTTGCAACATGGGGCCGTGCATTATCATGCTGCAACATGAGGTGATGGTCATGGATGAATGGCACAACAATGGGCCTCAGGATCTCGTCACGGTATCTCTGTGCATTCAAAATGCCATCAATAAAATGCACCTGTGTTCGTTGTCCATAACATACGCCTGCTCCTACCATAACCCCACCTCCACCATGGGCCACTCGATCCACAACGTTGACATTAGCAAACCGCTCACCCACATGACGCCACACACGCTGTCTGCCATCTGCTCTGAACAGTGAAAACCGGGATTCATCCGTGAAGAGAACACCTCTCCAACGTGACAGACGCCATCGAATGTGAGCATTTGCCCACTCAAGTCGGTTACGACAACAAACTGCAGTCAGGTCGAGACCCCGATGAGGATGACGATCATGCAGATGAGCTTCCCTGAGATGGTTTCTGACAGTTTATGCAGAAATTCGCTGGTTATGCAAACCGATTGTTGCAGCAGCTGTCCGGGTGGCTGGTCTCAGACGATCTTGGAGGTGAACATGCTGGATGTGGAGGTCCTGGGCTGGTGTGGTTACACGTGGTCTGCGGTTGTGAGGCCGGTTGGATGTACTGCCAAATTGTCTGAAATGCCTTTGGAGATGGCTTATGGTAGAGAAATGAACATTCAATTCACAGGCAACAGCTCTGGTGGACATTCCTGCAGTCAGCATGCCAATTGCACGCTCCCTCAAAACTTGCGACATCTGTGGCATTGTGCTGTGTGATAAAACTGAACATTTTAGAGTGGCCTTTTATTGTGGCCAGCCTAAGGCACACCTGTGCAATAATCATGCTGTCTAATCAGCATCTTGATATGCCACACCTGTGAGGTGGGATGGATTATCTCGGCAAAGGAGAAGTGCTCACTAACACAGATTTAGACAGATTTGTGAACAGTATTTGAGGGAAATGGTCTTTTGTGTGTATAGAAAATGTTTTAGATCTTTGAGTTCAGCTCATGAAAAATGGGAGCAAAAACAAAAGTGTTGCGTTTATATTTTTGTTCAGTGGAGTTATTATTAAACAACCATTAAGTTTATACAGCGGTTAGCCAGCTACAATGGTTGCAATGGCAACAGTCCACATAAACTGCCACTGCCCTGACCATCCTGCTATGTTGATTTGAATTTCCATTCTACTCTCATTCTGTTTCTATGGGAGAAAGGACGTTCGGAGCAAAGAAAGAAGTCACGGTTGCTCTGTGTGTGTTGTGATCTGAGCTTCTCTGTTCTTTGTTTCGATAGCCTGTCCAGCCGTGGGTGCATTTCCATTATATCACATGATCATTAGCAGATGAAGTTAAGCTACTACCAGTATACCACACCTGAATCTTTAACCAAAGTGTCAGCGGTCCAGTTGCATTGTTGGTAATGTAGGCAGCAGGTTTGGAAGGGGAAGAACAAAGTGTGGAATAAAAAAGGTGATATCTCTGGCTCTGCTGCATCAGTTTTGTTCATCTTGAGTTAGACAATGTTATAAAAGTGCAACGCTAAATTGGTGGAGCACTCTTCTATGTGATACTTACTCTTACCTGATGTAATGTAGCTTTCAATTGTTATAGGCAAAGTCATTGTGTTACCTTGGAATCCAATGGTGGCCTTTTTCTAACAACAATAGTTATTTTTTTCCGAATTTCTCAGCAGAAAGTTTCTTTTTGTCCGGGATAACTTATCATCTACTTTAAAGAGGAAGGATGAGAAGGGTGAGATTTTGGTGGCATCCTTTGATTAGGAAACGGTGGTGACATTAGCTCAATTTGAGCTGGAGGAACATGAGCCTCCCTGTTTTCTACTGAAAAGCACATCCAAAGTAAAACTATCGAGGCCCAAAAAGGCCACCAATCCTCCCAGTATTTACATTAATAATTCCAAATAAATGTGAAAAGGATTTGTCTCATGTAAAAAGTAAGCATTCACACTGTACTGTACCTGTCCTGAAGTCCAGAGGAGTAGAAGGAAAGGTTGGGTCTAGGGGAGGTGGAGGTTTTGGGGAAGCGAGGCGGGACCGGAGGGCTGGGGACCGGACTGGAGATGGAGCCTCCTTTAGAGCAGCGAGGGGGAACTGGAGGGGCAATCAAGTAGCGACACTCCTCTCTCACCTACACACAAACACACACAGAAAAATGAGAGCTACAACAGCAAATAAAAAGTTAACTCCTAAAGTTGACTTCTCAAGAGGTTTTATGGGAGTGTGTGTGTGTGTGTGTGTGTGTGTGTGTGTGTGTGTGTGCGCGCGCGCGCTGGCTTGTCTCAATGTTCTGCTTGGTAAATGTCAAACTTGATGACCTTTACACCTCAAACAAACTCCCTCACACACACACACACACACACACACAGTGTCTTGGCAGGCTTAATATCGGGGAATGAAGAAACACTGGTGTGACAGGGTATAATCCAGCTGTACAGCAGATATCACCCACACACACTCTCTGTACTGCTTCTAGCTGCCATCACTTTGTAAGATAAAAGTTAATTAAGCAAAACAAAGCGTGATAATTTCCCCCTTACAAACAGACGCCATATACACTAACATGTGAACACCAACACTGGGCAACCACCTCTTAACTTCAAAAAAAGAATAGCTCAGCTACGAAGACAACCTTGTTTCCAGCGTGACACACCATTTTTGATTTAAAAAATATTTGTTTTAGAGATGGTATCATGCAAGTGTTGGTCATCTTATACAAGAACACAAGGGACTTCAGTTTAACATGAAACGCATGAAACATGTAATAGATAGTATAATGTTTAGACTGAGCTTTGTCAGCGAATATACAACCCTGAGCTAAAAGTAGTCAAAACAAAATTACAAAGACATTGTGTTCCACTTAAACACTGTGAAAGGAATATTCCACAACCTTCCCATATATGTTGAATAAAATAAATATGCCTCTTTTTTATCAGCAAGTGATAGTGTCACGACCACGTTTTCATGAAAGCCCACTCTTTGACAGTTCTAAATTGGTAATGTCTGGTTGCAAAAGTTTGTAGTGGAGAAAAATGTTACAGGAAGTGATACATTTTATGTTTTATGGTAACATTAACTTTTAAACTAGCGATTCACATGCCTCTCCCCTATAAAGTGACAAAGTTGTGTCCCCTCTCACAGTTTATCACTGCTCCCTTATGTGGGATTTATACTTTTGTGTCGAATCAGCGCTGTACTTATGGTGTAGCCTGACGTGCACCTCCCCAGAAATGTAGCTATATGTCGTGGCAACGTGGACCGTTTAGTAAGCTGAAACCATTTCCCTCAGTGGAAAGGAAACTTTTATTTACTTAAATTTCACAGATAAGAAACAATAAATTGTGAAGACAATAAAGCCTCCCCAAAATAGCATTTTAAGTCTTGTGTGTGATCTATCCTGGCTTCATGTGAGTAGAGGAAATCTCTGCTTGTCCCTAGGCTAATTTTTGCAGTGTAAAATGCCATAGGCTTGTGCTAATAACGTTAGCATGTTGTATTTGTTTGGAAAACGTGTTTAGTATAAGACAGTTGCGTTGTCAGTGAACCTTGTGAGTTGTAATGGAGCCAAATTGTGTGCCGTTACCTTTGTTAAATGTTGCTGTTGTAGAAGTAGAGGAAAAGTCCACTAGTTGCTAGGCTAATTTATACAATTTAAAATGCCATAGGCTTGTGCTGAAAACATTAGCATGTTGTATCTGTGGGGAAAATGAGGCAAGCAAAAGACAAGTGCTTTGTCTGTGAATCCTGTGAAGTATAGTGATTTGTGTATTTGTGTTTAAAACTGTCGCTATTAAACCATGTTTAATGTGTGTTTTAGGTGTGTTCTGAATCAACTAAACTTTATAGCACTTGACAGAAACCCCACCGCCGACTAGTGTTTTGGAGGATCATGGGAGCTTTAGTTGTTCAGTATTCTCATGCACTGTATGTATACCTCTGTAAAGTTATGCATCACAATTCATATATTCAATGTAATCACATGCTTGTAATTTATGTATAACGCACGAAACAGCAAGGAGGCCAGTAGTCTGCATAAGGACACAGGTTGGGGTGGTGGTTGGGTCACAAAACACAGGACTGTGGCTGTGTTTGTTGTCACCATGTTTCTTTTCTTAAACTTAACATACACAACATTACATTTCTAAACAAAAACTAACTTTACGTTAAATATATAACACCATCTATGGAGGCCAATTCAGTAGATATCATGCAAACCACTGTATGAGGATACATTTTTCAGTGTTATGTCTTATTGTCTAACATGCTCAAACGTTCTATCCAGGTACCTGTTTAGCTTAAAATATAGAAAGGAAACCTCAGGAACATGTTTTAGCTTTTCTTTGAGAAACCCTGACAGATGAACCAATAACTGAGCCCTCCATGAGAAAACACATTGAGTTGAGAAGCTAGTGGAACACAGGAAAAAGGAGGGTTTGAAAGAACTGCAGAAAGAACTTCATGCTTAAACAATTATTCAATCAAAAGAAAAATAATCAACAATAATTTTAAAACTACATTCGACGTTTAAGTCATTTGTTGAGCAGAATTTCTGTCTCTCTTGTCATACAGTAGTTAGTGCTTCACACATACAGTACAGGCCAAAAGTTTGGACACACCTTCTCATTCAATGCGTTTTCTTTATTTTCATGACTATTTACATTATAGATTCTCACTGAAGGCATCAAAACTATGAATGAACACATGTGGAGTTATGTACTTAACAAAAAAAGGTGAAATAACTGAAAACATGTTTTATATTCTAGTTTCTTCAAAATAGCCACCCTTTGCTCTGATTACTGCTTTGCACACTCTTGGCATTCTCTCCATGAGCTTCAAGAGGTAGTCACCTGAAATGGTTTTCCAACAGTCTTGAAGGAGTTCCCAGAGGTGTTTAGCACTTGTTGGCCCCTTTGCCTTCACTCTGCAGTCCAGCTCACCCCAAACCATCTCGATTGGGTTCAGGTCCGGTGACTGTGGAGGCCAGGTCATCTGCCGCAGCACTCCATCACTCTCCGTCTTGGTTAAATAGCCCTTACACAGCCTGGAGGTGTGTTTGGGGTCATTGTCCTGTTGAAAAATAAATGATCGTCCAACTAAACGCAAACCGGATGGGATGGCATGTCGCTGCAGGATGCTGTGGTAGCCATGCTGGTTCAGTGTGCCTTCAATTTTGAATAAATCCCCAACAGTGTCACCAGCAAAACACCCCCACACCATCACACCTCCTCCTCCATGCTTCACAGTGGGAACCAGGCATGTGGAATCCATCCGTTCACCTTTTCTGCGTCTCACAAAGACACGGCGGTTGGAACCAAAGATCTCAAATTTGGACTCATCAGACCAAAGCACAGATTTCCACTGGTCTAATGTCCATTCCTTGTGTTTCTTGGCCCAAACAAATCTCTTCTGCTTGTTGCCTCTCCTTAGCAGTGGTTTCCTAGCAGCTATTCGACCATGAAGGCCTGATTGGCGCAGTCTCCTCTTAACAGTTGTTCTAGAGATGGGTCTGCTGCTAGAACTCTGTGTGGCATTCATCTGGTCTCTGATCTGAGCTGCTGTTAACTTGCCATTTCTGAGGCTGGTGACTCGGATGAACTTATCCTCAGAAGCAGAGGTGACTCTTGGTCTTCCTTTCCTGGGTCGGTCCTCATGTGTGCCAGTTTCGTTGTAGCGCTTGATGGTTTTTGCAACTCCACTTGGGGACACATTTAAAGTTTTTGCAATTTTCCGGACTGACTGACCTTCATTTCTTAAAGTATTGATGGCCACTCGTTTTTCTTTAGTTAGCTGATTGGTTCTTGCCATAATATGAATTTTAACAGTTGTCCAGTAGGGCTGTCGGCTGTGTATTAACCTGACTTCTGCACAACACAACTGATGGTCCCAACCCCATTGATAAAGCAAGAAATTCCACTAATTAACCCTGATAAGGCACACCTGTGAAGTGGAAACCATTTCAGGTGACTACCTCTTGAAGCTCATGGAGAGAATGCCAAGAGTGTGCAAAGCAGTAATCAGAGCAAAGGGTGGCTATTTTGAAGAAACTAGAATATAAAACATGTTTTCAGTTATTTCACCTTTTTTTGTTAAGTACATAACTCCACATGTGTTCATTCATAGTTTTGATGCCTTCAGTGAGAATCTACAATGTAAATAGTCATGAAAATAAAGAAAACGCATTGAATGAGAAGGTGTGTCCAAACTTTTGGCCTGTACTGTACATGTATGTATATATTCATTCTTTCTTTCATGCATTCATCTTCCCAGCTGGTTATTGACAGAGAGGCAGGGTACAATCTGGACAGGTCACCAGACTATCGCAGGGCTGACAAATAGAGACAGACAACCATTCACACTCACATTCACACCTACGGACAATTTAGAGTCACCAATTAACCTGCATGTCTTTGGACTGTGGGAGGAAGCCGGAGTACCCAGAGAAAACCTACACTGACACGGGTAGAGCATGCAAACGCCGCAAAGAAGGGCTTCCTCACCCAGGGATTCCAACCAGGGACCCTCTTGCTGTGAGGCGACAATGCTAACCATTTATTCAAGTTTATTCACAACCTTTGTTGTCTATTCTAATCATCAGAAATGGTTACACTGTTGCTATGTGACCATCATTTATCATGAAATCAATAACAATTTGGTCATTCTTTAGACCACAGGCTCCATCAGAGTTATACTCTACCACAGGACTGAACTGACTGTTCTATTTATTGAATAACTGTATTCCAGCATGCAACACACATGTACCTGCTGCATTCTTGGTAATATGTATTCATGTGCTGTCAGCATATGGCCTGTGAGTGTATAGCAGCCTTTCCAGGAAGTCAGTGTGAGTTTGTGTGAGTGTGTGAATGTGGCCGCTGAGGTTTAAAAGCTGTAATGTATGAATAATTCAAACCAGGCATCCTGACTTTTAACAACCGGATGCTGCTGTGGACGGATAAAAGGGATGAGACACAGAAGGACGAAAAGAAGGCCAGGAGGTAAAGACTGAAACTCACAGCATCAGATTTTGGAGGTACAGGTGGTGGGGTAGACACTCTTGTCACCACGGTACCAAGAGAACCATCCAGTGAGGAAGATGAATGAAAGGAGATGAGGTTTGGCTCCTTCCCCAAGCCCTCTGCGTTCTGATTGGTCCAGAGTTCCTCGTAAGGGATTTCCTCACTGGTCCTCATTTCAGCCTCAGTCCACTCAGGAGTCACATACTCCCGCTCCTCACCTGGTCCCTCCCCCAGCTGCTCTCCAAGAGAGTCCCTGCAGCGCTGTGATAGGCTGTCCGAAACCCCACCCCCATATCCACACATGGAAAGGCGCTGCAGTGCCGGTGCTAATGAGTCCTGACCCGACACACACATACGAGAGCGCCGCGGGCTCACACACTCCTCTGTCATACACTCCAGCTCTGGCCGGGTTTCTCTCACAGCGCGAGAGTAGGCATCTGGGTCAAATGCATGTCGCAATAAAAGGCTCTCCAGCGCCGCCGTGTGGACGGAGGCCTCAGCCACGTTAAACCGAGGCATGCAGCGCAGCAGCAGGAAGTGGGAGGGGGAGACTTCCTGTCGGCGGAGTACCATGCAGAGCACCACTGTCTTGCTGACAATGTTGAGCAGCTTGTAGCGGTGGCCCTCTCGGACCGCATGGCGGTCATAGGGGTTTCGTGGTGGTCGTGAAGGCACAGACACATTGACAGGGAGGCGCACCCTCTCAATGATGCTGCGTACCGTGTGCTCCCCTCCCAGCATGCCCTGCTCCAAAGGGGAGCGAGTGCAAAAGCGTCCACGGCAACCAAAGGGGAGGCTGACGCTCTGATTGGTGCGATGGTTCATACAGACCAAGCAGGGAGTTTTACCTGAAGAGGCAGAGACAGAAAGGTGGATTAGTTACGCTCACATTGGTCTTCTGTTAAATGAAATTGCTCCACATTCATGCCTGAAAACAGACGCTCTGATCTGGGTTATGAACAAATATTGAACAGAGTTTGTAGTTTGGTAGTGTGGTGTACTGAGAATGATGACCCTGTGGTCCCTCCACCTCCCTGCTGCCTGCTAGAAGACTATTGCTGCGGGAGTATGAGTGAGCTCCACGCTGGGAACAGTGTGTGAGAGTCCACTGACTAAACAGTGACAGGGCTAAAATTACTGTAAGCATGACACGGCTAACGTTACCTAATGGTCATTAACGGGATTCACTACAGAGAAAAGTTGTGTCGTGTCGGTCTGAATTTGTTGGGACCGTTTATGGCTTGTGTCAGATATCAGCCACTGTCACTGTGTTAGCTTGTGCTAACTGGCTGCCATATTTTTTCCTAGGGTGGCAAAGGCATGACCCACCCTACTCTTTCTGACTGGCTAGTGCTCGTTGCCTTTGTTGGTTGCATTAGTTTGGTTTAGAGGAGTAAGATTGGTCAGGATTAGTCTATGAATGTTGAAGTAGTCTTTTGCCCACCAAGTCTGCATTTTGCAAATGCGTTTTTTAGTCTGTCATCCGACAAAAGTCAGTAAGGACAGAAACCTTGCACACTGAGTCCAATCTGTTTTATTGTTCTATTCGTTGCTTAAGTTTGCAATGTGAGACAAAATGAAAAGACAAATTTCATCCCTTGGTTCTCTCCACTGAGTGCACTTCCCTGGCTATCGTCACTCTCTGTCTGCATCTTGTATTTAGTACTGCGGTTACCTGTAGGGGCTAAGCTGTCCTACCTCTCTGTCTCCACACTGTCATTTTCTCTGTCTGTCTGCGGTCCTCATTCTCTATTAAATCCTCTTCCTTGTCATTATCATCCACGTGAATATTGCAATCTGATCTTGAAAGTAGGCTACCTGAGTGAGGAAATGATACTGTGTGCCCCATCGCTCTCTCTTGTTGCAGATGCATGTAGCCTGCAGGTTATGCCATATTTTCTTCACTGCATCTTGGTCAAACAACTCTTTAGGCTTTTGATGGACACAAAGTTTTCCAAAAACTTGAATGATGGACTAAAGTTTAGCAGTCAGTGTGCAAGTGATAGACACAAGGTAAGGTTGTATTTATTTTTAAACATGTGAGATTTTTGTACGAAAAATACGGACGTTGCCATCCTAGGAAAAAAAACTTGCCCGGAGGAGAACGACTCCAGAGACGGTCCTTCATCTCTGCATCTAACCTGTTAAACAGCAGCAACTGAGGGTGATTTCACACCTGCCCTGTCGGTTCAGTTGAACTCCAGTTTGTTTGCCCCCTAAGTGCAGTTCGTTTGGGCAGGTGTGAACACAGCAATCGCACTTAGGTGCGCACCAAAACAAGCGGATCAAGACCTTCTTGAGGGGGTGGTCTTGGTCTGGTTACAAACAAAAGTTGGTGCGGTTTGTTTGTGGTGAGAACGTGTTTCGACCTCAATCCGAACCAACTGCAGCCGCGTTACATATTGTTTGGGTTAAACATGAGCATGTTACAGTCCTGGAGGATTATTAATGTGCACCTCCTCCTGTACTGCCTTAATATGCACATACAGCACATCCAGTGCATCAAAACATTGTTTTCTAGTTGGAGCCGCGCCTCGTTTTCAAACTGTATGGTTTGACTAAAATGAACAATGACAAAAATATAGTACATGATGACCAGCGCTAAAATCAACCTGCGTAGTTATCCCACATTAGAAAGTGTCACACTTATCTTGCAAGTGTACTCTTCTTCAGTGTTTTGTTTACTTACTGGATTTTTCCCGCATGGAAATTCTGACCAATCAAGAGCAGCTTTCTCACACAAGGCATTTTATCTTGTCTGCTTGTAAATGCTGCCGTGAGAACACGAACCAACTCACGCAATTATGCGACTTTGTAACAAAATTAGTCCCTGATTCAGACCAAAGCAAGACAACTCTAGGTCTGAAAGCATCCTGAAAGTTGCTGATGAGTGTGGGCTTTCCATGATCAGTCATCGAGTGCTGGACCCCCCACCCCCACCCTTATGGTTAGCTGCTACCATAAATAGAATCTAATCCTGTGAGAAACACTGAATATAGATCCATTTCCAAGCAGAAATGAACTGCTCAACCCATACAGTACTGCCAATGATGTCACTGATTCCCCTTTACTGGAGCACATGAATAATCACTGTGACTAAACTCCATAAAACATAAAACTTGACAGTTTGGCCTTACGCACTTCTAGGAGTCTTTCCCAGGCGTCTCAAGAGCGCGCTCAGTCCTGTCTTTTCCTTAGAGGGCGTGGCACAGAGGAGCTCCGCCTTCCCCATGAGTGACAGCTCATCTCCAGCCTGCAGAGTGAAGCTGTATGGCTCACTGTCCTCACTGAACTCCCCTGAAACCACCTGCAGCATACACATGTATGGACATGTGGACATGATATTGCATGACAGAAGCTTTAATTGTGACATTCTCATGTTACTCTAACCTTGACACTAAAGGTGATTGTCTCCATGACAAAGACTCGATCGGGGAAGACTCCAGCAACTTCCTCCACACTGGAAAAATACTGGACCGGATCCCTGACGTCTCGGTCTTCATCCAACAACTTGAACTTTCCTATAGAGAGGATGGAAAAGGGACAGGGGGAAGAGAGGAGAAGGGTGAAGGAGATGCACGATGGGAGGTACAAAGATGGACAGAGGAAGTGGGAAAGGGAGAGGAAGGAATGAGCAAGGGCAAGGAAAGAGGAGAAAGGAGTGGAATAAGACAGAAAGGGAGTAAAAAGGAGGTGAAAAGTTGTTTTTTGTTCTGTCTTTCTTTTCTCTTTGTGACTCCCTACAGATCCTCAAACACACACAAACACACATCCGCAGTAGACACTGTTTGGACGAGAAGAATACAAAGACACCTCCGTGACCTGTGACCTGGCACCAGTTCTCTGCCAATCGACAGCCGACGGGGTTGGCATAGCAACCAATAAAGGGCCCCCATTCTCACGCAGAGCAGAGACACATCACCATGGAGACACTCACACATACACTCACACACGTTCACCCTCTCTTTTCCTTGCTCATCCCCTCCTCCATCTGTAAATCTTTCACACTCATGATCTCCAGTGTTTCAGTCCAGTAACTGTGTTTGTGTTCTTAAAACTGCCTGTTTTTTTGGTTTGGGCCACTTTCTGATGCTGTAGGAACTATTTGAGGAATGTACAAAAGGCTCCAGTTCAGCCTTATTAAAGTCCCATTATCCTTTCGTCTTCATAGTTTATTAGATTGAATTTAATTACTACATCCCTCCAATGGTCCTCGTTTCCCTAAGAGTCAAAGTGCTTGTGTGTGTGTTTGTGAGGGAACGAGACATGAGAAAGTTTTTTTGTCTGAGAGGCAGAGCAGAATACCAAACTCCACCATCCTCCTCGCCAGCACCTCCCTCCGTTTCTGTTCCCCTCTTTCTCCTCCACCCCCCACCTTCCAATTCAAACAGAGCCCCCAGGATAAGGAGCTTCCACCCACTGAACAATACCAGCAAGTGCTACTTTTCAGCACAACCTGCCACCACCCTTCCCAAAGAAAGGACACTCCAAATGTTATCAACAGAACTGAGGTGCAACAAGCTATTAGTCTGTGAGAAAGTGTCGCTCAAAGAAATAAAAACTGAATCACCGGCTTTTAAATCCCCACACACAAGGCTTTGGCCATCAGTTCCACGTTACAAGTGTGGCCGTGGCGCCACTTGCTTCCCTGAAACCCACTGATTCCGCTTTTCTGTCCTCTACCCTTCAGTCATCCTTGCCTCTTTTACTGATGAACAGAGGAGGATCCAGACAGAGAGAGAGAGAGAGAATAACAAGGAGGGAGCATCCTGTTGTCAGTCCCCATGGGGAAACCTATATTGCTCTCCTCCTAAGCTTATTTAGACTTCCTGTATGAAGTCATCACACAGACGTTAGCTCATCACTGGCGGTGGCCTCTGATTCAACAACAACTCACCTGTCATATTTAAAGAGACACGAAGGTGGTCCTTAAAGTATGCATAAATTTAAATGCATATACCGGAATGCGTCGTTAAAATGGTTTACAACAGAGAAAGATGTCTGGTGGTTCAGAAATGAAATGTATGCATTAATTTGCCGTTGATAATTTGTATCCTCAGAGCTGGGCTAACACTGTGTGGACCCTAGTTCCTTACCCCCCTGAAACTAAATGTCAAACAACTAAACTGGCACGAATTCAGCCAGATTCTAAAATTAGTTGGGGGCGACCCATTCACGGTCGAAATCAGGCTTGAATATGTTTCACATCATACATAGATTTTTGTCTGAAAAATATGCAGGGAGAGTTATAAAAGCTAATTTTGTGGGGTTTTATAAATGCTTGCACACCCCTGCAGATCATTCCTCTGGGCAACAAAACACCGATGTCGTACTTTGTCCGTTGTGCCAACTGATGTCATACCTCCAGGTCATAGCTGGCTTGGTGCCAAAATGAGGGAACGTCTTATCAGTTTGGTTTCTCAGCATTCAATATTGTACAACAAACACCGTGACGACTACCTCTCAAAAAAAAAAAAGGACAATATATGGCCTATTGCTATGGCTGGGCGATAAAACGATCTCAAAACGGGATCGCAATAAAATGTATGTCGATGATGATTATACAGACAGCTGTCAGTCAATCTGCAGTGTTGGAAGTTTGTGTTGAGGTGAGTGTGCCGAGGAGAGGAGGAATAAAGAAATAAGAGACATAAGCATGGACATAAAACATGTGGAAGTGAGGAGCAAAGCGGCTGTAAAGCTGAAGAAAAGCTTACGTTACGTCCTCAAAAACAGACGAAATTGTGGATTAAAAAAGGTTACACAACATCAATAATTTGGAAGTGGTTTGGCTACTTGAAAGGTGGCAACGCATGGACAAATACGGTCTGCAAAATATGTCGTCAGTCAGTGTTAACCAGGACGGGAAACACACAAATCTTTTCCATCATCTGAAAAGGAAGCACCCCAGGGACTACACCGAGAGCATGAAAATCTGGGCTAAAACTGCAGTAAGTCCATCAACAAGTGTTGCTCAACTGCCTAGCACTTCTGCTGTTCTGGGCAGCGTTACCGGGGCTGCACCAAAACAGCAATCAGTAGTTTCCTCATTTCAAGAAGGAGCAGAGATATAACAGATGCAGTGTCGTACTTTCTTGCCAAAGTCATGATTCTCATGAGCACCGTGGAGAAAAACAGGTTCAAGAAATTAATTAAAGTGCTTGACTGCAGGTACGAGTGGTGTACAACGAGTCCCATGGGAAGCTGGAAAATCATTAGGTTTCTTCAGGTGTCAGACATTCTTGTGATACTTTTCAAACTCGCAGCAAGTTATATATCGTGATAAATGCCGATATCGATCAGTATGGGAAAAATATCGTAAGAATATTTTTTGCCATATCGCCCAGCCCCACTTATCGCTTGGCAGCTTTGATATGATGAGGATGGCACTGTAGCTGATATGTACTTATATGTTGGTCACCAAACCAGGCTAGCAGCAACAGCTAGTGTTAGCATCAAATTTGGGGGTCCGATTAGTTTGTGTATTGTGTAGTTAGCATTAGCCCCTTATCCCTTATTATCTGTCTGTATAGGTCTTTGTTTTCTGGAGTGGACACGAGCACTATTTAGGAGGAAACTCACTGGGTCTCATTCATGATATAATTACTATTTTTCTCTTTCTTTGTGATGAGAATGGAACAGGGATAATTCACTTGTCTCTTGCAATGTGTTTCTCTTCATGCAAGTGATACTAAATTGCTGAAAACACCCCTTTGAGAAAACCCTTGAGTTGTTTACTTCCCAATACTAACTGCTAATATTCCCAATATTGGCGGTCTCACACTTCCGATGTGAAATGACGAGATGTCTAAAATGACAATGATCTCAACACACTCCCTCCCACCCAAGTGTTCCTTCATTCTTCCGAAAAGGAGCCCAAGAGGCGGCAGTAGTGTGAGGTGACATCAGCACTCCATTGCTGGAGGAAACAATGAAGAGGAGTCATTAGGATCCAGTTACACAGTGAATAATGTGACTGGTCGGACAGTCTGAACAATGGGATTGTGGGGATGGAGCTCCGGTGAGGTCATACTGACTAGATTCATTCAGCAGGAAGACGACAGGTCAATGGACAGGAGGAGTCAGGGAAGGTCCGGTCTCCTGAAGCGGGTTGAATGTGTGAATGAATGTGTATTTGTCTGTACATTAGGATTTGAACTTAGGGTCTGATTTTATGTACCATTATTATATATCATTAAATGTAACAATTTACAATACATGTTGAAAATGTATCATGTATTCAGGTTTGACTATATGATTGTAACAATTTCCCCCAAAATCTGTTTTTGCATCTACCTGTATTGTAGTGAAATTATTTCATCAACCCATTTTCCCCTTTTGTTCATCTAAAGTAGCAAACCAGGTCTTCTTTGAAGCTAAGACTGAGTCTGGAATAAAGCATAACTTTGTTAACTTTAGGATATCACTGAAAATTTCAATGTTCTGTACGTTGGAACAAAGTTTACATGGACTGGGTCAAGATAAAGACTCAAACAAGTTAAGGGGTTATGCATGCCTGACATGCATGCATTTTGGGAAGAAGTAACCAGAAGACAGTCACATGGACAGAACATGCAAACTCGACAAAGAAAGGTTCCAGACAACTTTAGTGAAGCTTGAACCCACGACCTTGCAATATGCAATGCAAATGTAGCATTTCACCATTCAAATAACAGTTTAAAGGTCCAGTGTGTAGGATTTAGTGGCATTTGCGGCGAGGTTGTAGAACTGAAGCTTCTCCCTTGTGCCAAACATGTAGGAGAACCACAGAGACCAATGTGAAATGCAAATGGCTTTATATAGTGCCAGTGGCAAAGGACCCGTCCCGTATGTCAATATAAACAGTTCAGTCTAAGGTAATAAAATATAACAATTTTAAGTTTCAAGTGATAATAAACAAATGAAAACGTAGTTATGAATGTCATATACCATTTCTGCCTGTAGATGCCCCTAAATCCTACACACTGGGCCTTTAAATCACAATTGCGACGATTATGTGAAACTCATCTCTCTCCAGCTGGGACTGGATATCAGTTTGATATCAGCAAGATGTTGGATGGAATGAAGGATGGATGATGGCATGGTGGTACAATGGTTAAATGGGTGATGTCGTTCGGCCAGTACCACTGCACCTACATTCCAGTATTGGTAGTGTATTGAAAATTTTGGGACTCTATAACCCTTAATCAGATGGGCAGTTCCAATATCAAGTGCTGCTGCAGCCAGACGGTCTTTTTATTTGTTTTTTTTTTTTGCCTACAATTTTTTTTCCAACGTTGCAGGTAGCAGGCTTGTGGCCCACAAGGTAGGCTGGCCTATCTGGCGTTTGTCGGAATTGCCCAATGGCTAGTCCAAGCCCGTCTATACCTTACAACTAAATGGCATTTTCTACGTCAGGATGACGTCGGCATAAGACGTTTGGAAAATGTTGGATTTTGTTTACTTGACAACACGACTTAAAGCCAACAAAATATCAACGTCATCTGTCATTAGTATTCTACATCAAATTGACAATGCCATTAGATGATGTCATGACATTGAATTGTGGTCACCCATTGTCACAACCTAAATTCAACCAAATATCAATGACGTTGGCAGCCAGCTGGGTTGATTCTGGGAGTTTATGTTTTGGTCATGTGTTATATCCATTGTGAATATGTGTTACTTCCTGTTATAATTGAGCTGGACTATGACAAATCCATATCAGCTAGGTTCACGGTTGATAAGATTAACTTGAATCTGAACTTGAACTTGAATAATTAATCATAAACTTACTGTATTTCATCTTGAGAATGTATCTTTAAAGCATGTTGACCAACCCTATTTTTAAAGCGAGGACATTTCAACCCATCAGACATTACTTACCACTATCAGTTCATCAGTCTAATGTTACTGTGTCTATCGCAGTTGTCTCGTAGCACAAAGAGACATTTGTCCCAACAAAAATAGAGCAAGTGGAAAATGTTGACCTTGTGACAAAAATGTCGGTGAAATTTACTTCCCCCCCAGGGCACTTGAGCAATTTAGGGAGAAATTGATATTTTTAGGTTGAGGACGCAAGTTTAACTGATTGTTTAGACATTTTTGGGCATGCTTGTGTGGACATGCAGTGTGTGTGTGTGTGTGTGTAGGTGCATGGGCTCACCCTGGTATTGCAGAGGGATGTCTATCTTGGGTCCAATAACGTAGTGCCCCTCCTCTAAGCTGTGGGCAGTCACTGTGGTCCACTGACGACAGGAGTGTAACAGCACCACATCCTCCTCTGACAGCCCCTCCACACATTCACCTGGAACACACACATGAATACACAGAAATGGATTAAGAATAAACAAATAGTCTTTCTGAAACAATAGGTTTTTAATTTCTAGTTTACACTAGTTCAGCAGTGGAAAACACTAAAACACTCCCTACACACAAACACACACATACATTCAGGGCTCAGTGTCCATAATTACCACTATCAGTGATGGTTCACCACCCAGAACCTACTCATCAGGATCCCGTCATGCAAGTGGCAACCCACTATTACACAGCAGCCCCCATACATACACACTGCTCTCTGGCTTTCACTAGATCCATCATGTAGCACCACAGCATTGATTTCTGCAGATAGCACAGTGGTACAATTCAATCACATCACACACACACAGCTCCCTCCCACTCTCTCACACACAGATCACATGGATGCACATCTTTTTGTTCTTGTTGCTGAAAGAGGGCAGTTACTACCAAAGCCTTTAATCTAACAGTCATGTTGATGGATAGCTGAATGCAAACTCGGGACAGACGAGATGACATTTCAGTGGTTTGGCTGCATGTTAAAGGGTCAGTTCACCCAAATCACAGAGTGACACATTTTCACTCTTATTCCTGTGGTTATTGAGTCATGCAGATAATTTGGATTGTAGGTCTGTTTGGTTTTACCACCGCTGAGATAAATGTAGGCGACTTGTTTCTTGTTTGAGTTCAAAGCAAAAATTGCACACACTCATAAGGCCACTTTTCATAAACATGGTTTCTCTGGATGACTCACAGATGTTGCTGTCAAGATTTCAGGAGGTACCACAAACGAAACACGACTATCAGGAAAAAGTACGTAGGCTGTTAAGTATCAAAAGTGAAAGTATTCCTCATGCAGTATGGCTCCTTTCAAAGGGGTATAGTGTAAAGCATATATATGAAGTATTATGGTAATATTTTAATGTCGTAGCTGCTAGCTCATTTTAAAGGTATACTATGAAGGACTTTCCAAAAAAAAAGTGCAGACACAAACAAAAGTTATCTCTCTCAATCATCACTACTAACCCACTAGAAGTATGTGGTGGTGTATTTATCTGCAGACACTCTGTGCTCTGCCTGTATTTCTTTTTTCCTTCTTTTTCTTCTACATTAGGGACATTCCTGGACACAGCGAACAGGTGAGCTCAGAACTATATAAAAAGGTAGTGACCAGGTGCCAGACAAGTAGCTGTATATAAAGATGGACAATGCATCTCCACTTCCTCCCACTGTACAAAAACGAAGCTAAAACATCCTGGATATGGCCACCAACTTGTTGCCCTGGAAACATCATTTGGAGCCAGGGCTGCTTAGTAGCAAAATGCGCAGCACCGAGTTCACGCCGTCGGACCAGTTGTGAGCAGTGCCATTGATCATGTGCAGTCGATTGGCCCGCACAGCTGTCAATCATGACGTTAACCTCATAAGTAGTTATAACCAAACTTTAAAGAAAAATGAAAACTTGAACATATGTCAGTGTGATAAGTGCTACCTTAAATGACAACACATTCTCACTCCGACCTGGTCACATATTGACGTTTGGTCATGGACTTTCCACGTCCACATACAACGTGCAAGGTTCCCTGGATGCATTGGTTGTTGACATTCTGGGACGGCGTGTCAAGTTCTGCCTGTTGCATGCATTGTCTTCTTTCAAAATACACTTCTGTTTCCACAGGAAATTTAACATTTACATACAGTCTCTTAAACACACTACGTCGGAACAACACCGCAAATTGATGGGTTTTTTTTTTTCCTTCAACAGCAAACAGACGTGGTTGGGTTTAGGAAAAAAGAACAGGGTTTGGCTTTAGAAACTTGCGGGACGCAAACACAGCTCTCTAGGGTAAAAGTCGTTGTTTGATGGATCTACCACCCCTCTGGCCTGCCCCAGTCGGACTTTCGCCGCCTTAACTTTCGTCATTGTCCCACTGTGTTTCCCCGATGCTGCCAGGTGCCGTTAAACTATAACTGCAACCGGCTGCATGTCATAACGTTTAAGGGCGCCTTTTTTTGTTGGTTTCGGACACTGCAAGTCGCTGCCCAGGTGCCGGATTTCGATGACTTCGGAGTCAGACCGGGCTTTAAATGACAGAAACAACCTTTGGAAAAAAATGTATTGATGTGTACTTTGATTTTTTTTTTTCTTCTTTTTTTTTGGCCCATGTCTCATGTGCTCCTATGACGTATACTGCAGCCAGCCACCAGGGGGCAATCAAGATATTTTGGCTTCACTTTTGGGTAGCTGTCAAGTCGTCCATCTTTATTATACAGTCTGGCCAGATCGTAAGCAGCATGCATCAAAGAGTAAGCTACGAAAATTGCAAACAGTGTGCCTAAAAAACACAAATACAGCAAACGAGATCAAATTGGAGTTAAGCTTTCCCTTTGAGTTTCACTGGTGATATTGTCAAGAAACAGTAACCAACAATTTCTCCACAGTATACCTTTAAGTAGGCCTACTTTACTTTCAGTTAGGTAATTTACATTGGATTGTATATTCTAAACTCCTTATATATTCTGTTAATACAATCTGAAATGTGCAAAATGTAGCTCTCAAATGAATATAATGGAAAAAGTACAAAAAAGTCTTCTGATATGCAATGAAGTAGAGGTACAAAATAATATAAAATAGGATTAGAGTATAAGTACCTCAAAGTTACACTTAAGTACCAAGTATGTTTACAGTATGATTAAATCTACTATTAATTCTCCACTACTGGTTACAACCACAGCTAATTCCATTTGTTACATGAGAAAAGCTTTCATGTAACTTGTGTTACATTTATTATATTCACATGGAGATTGAGAACTGCATTTCCATAGCCCAATGTACTTCATTGTGGCTATACTTTATTTGTAGGCAAGTATTGAATTTAACAGCATGCAACCTGGAGCATTCATGTTATAGCCCCTGTCACAGTGAAATACACCTCCACATTCTCATAGCACTAAACCACAGTCTCCCCCTGCAGAGAAAACATTGTTTTTGTTTGTTGTTAATATAAAATAGAGAAGGCTGACATCATGCCATGTTGTAAATAACTAACCACCATCTGGGTTGGCTGGTTGTGCAAACAAGCATGCATCTGTGGGGTAACTACAGTGCAGTTAATAAACACCTACGGGTGCTCTCTCTGTGTGTCTCTCTGCACACACACACTGCACACGCGCGCCGCCTAAGGTGCGTAATTTTCGGGGACCATGACACGCCTCGGGTGCGCGCTTTTGTCCACGGGGGAAAGTTGGAAGGTTTTCCTTCTCGTCGCTGCTCGTTAGTATTCACCACATTCACCGACAGATTACAGCATTTACATATGAAAAGAATTGAGCAGCACTTCAGCAGCACAACAGACACTTTGTGGCTTTCCGGGCCTCGCTGGACTGGAACAACTTTGGCCATGACACCCATCGACCGTTCCCAAAGTAAAGACACAGAAGCTGCTGAGGCACACAATCATGTTGGCGGCAAAACATGAAACAAATAAATGGAAAAGTGAACACAAATGTTTCTCAATGAGTCCATTATGAATGTCTGCTTGTTGGTGTGAACTGGAAAAGTCGGTGTCCAAGAATAAATGAATAAATGCATCAAGGTCGCGAGATGAAGCCAGGATACTAACGGAAATACAGCGGCATGGGTTTCAAAATAAAAGCACCAAATGCGCCCAGTCACTGAAACGTCAATTTCCGATCGCATACTTTGCCCCCCAGGTATTATAGTGGTTTCTCCAACATTTTGCCTAAAAATAATGTCAATACTGTCCAACACAAATGATTGATGGAGCGTAACAAACTTGTTTCGTTGTCTATGCTGTCAAAATACAAAATGATTCAGTTTGGAGTTTAATTTGAGTCTTTGTGGTTTGAGAGCACAGCTCACTTTCGAAGAAACTTTGACTCGTGCATACACTGTATAGCTATTTCAATTCAAAACGAAACTGAGCAACATCTACTTCTACAACTACAAAACCTGTCAGTCAAGATTATAAAGTGGCGCAGGCTCATAAACAACAAAATGTCTTAACTCTAAGTGTCACTTGGTATAAAACATCACCAGCCTTACGTGTTGGGAAACATGATAATCCTGTGTGAACGTTTACAGGAGTTTAAGGGAAACAATGTCCAGGAATTCTAGGTGTTGGACTTCCACTTTATCAGCCATGAACAAGTGGTAATGTAAAAATTGGGTAACAACCTTTAATTAGAGAGACACCATTAAGATAAGTGTAGAAAGCCAACTAGCCTATCACTTGTTTGTCCATTTTTCTTTTAAAAGACACAACCATTTTGTACACATTTTGAATTATTTTAAATTCTTGCTCACAAATAATACTATTATGATGACTACTAATTCTACTGTTATGACTGAAACACAATATTGCAATTTGTTTTGCTAATAAAGGCTGTTTTGTCAAGATTATTGCCAAGGTTGCACTCTGAGACACTGATACCTTATTTATATATTTACATTTATATTTTTTCTAATATTTAAAATGCTAATTTAACTCAAAAAGATTTTTCCATATTAACGGTCAAAGGATTTATTCTGAAAACCCTAAGCGGAAGTGGCAACTTTTCCTGCCAGCCTTGACACCGTTGAGATTCTTGAGTAAATTGCTACACTTGTTCTTACAGCCTAACGTCGTTATACTCATAAAAAAAAATCTTTAAAAAACACTTTCTTCGATGAAAGTTTGACTTTTTCCCGTTTCCTGGCCGGAAACCCCTATTTATCGTCATTTCTCATCCTTACACTCATGGTTACTTTAACTCCAGTGATGTCAAACGACGAGGGAACGTTAACGTTGGCTAGCTAACACTTGTCAAAAGACTACAGCAGCGGAAAAGTTTTTAACGGTCGCACCGAAGGTCGAGGCACCCGGTACAGGTAGTCTCTTACCGTGGGCCAGACGGACCAGAGTGGGCAGACGGAACTTGCTGACCACCGCGTCCAACGGCAGCGCCAACGGGCTCCAAGTGATCTCCGACAGGCTCGCCGACAACTTCTCCATCCTCCCGGGTCATCACGCTACCGGAGATAATGATAATGTGATGAGGGTAGTGGTGGTGGTGGTGGTGACGGTAGCGATGGAGTGGAGGAGGATGAGGGTGATGGTGGTGGTATAATGGCAAAGAGTTTCGCCATGTTTGAATGTAGGAGAGAGGGAGCGCAGTCACAGTCGGTGCGCACGAGCGGTGGGAGGGAGCGCGAGCCCTCTCTCCTCCTGCCTCTCTGTCAGTCAGCGTTTGTCCACCGACCCCCCCACACACCCACACACACACACACCCACCCACACACACACAAACACACACACAGAACATGATAGCAAAGTCAGCCAAACTTTTATTCTGTAGCTTTTATAACTACAATGGAGGACATATCACCATGTCTTCTTTAACTCGTGCCTGCTGTTTGATAACCTGCTCTGTATCTCCACGTTTCCTCCATCAATTATTGCACCACTCTCTCCACAGAGATTAATGTGAGCTGGTGTGTGGGTGGTAAGTGAAGATGCAGGGACTTTTTAGGCAGGATTTCTCAACCTTTCCCTGCTGTGGGCTCTTTGCAAGATCCCAAATGTTCACGAGCCCAGAAATTACACAGATGGAATCCAAGTTATTTAATTTGGCAGTTTCAGAGTGGGATGTGACTACAGTAGTACATTTACTCGAGTGATATACTGAGGTATAGACCTTGTGCCATACTTGAGAGCTCCTTTTTTATATACTGTATTCCTCAAATTCATGTTTACCTCATACTGTACTACATTTATTTCAGTTAAGTCAAGTCAGGTTCAACTTTATTGTCATTTCCACATACAGAGTAGGCCTACATGGGAATGAAATTGCACTTTCTCACAACCCCAAGGTGCTATCAGACACACAGAAGTATAACAATATAAACATAAGAAATACATACACATCACACAGATATCCATATTTATTTCGAACGTGCATAAAAGACATTAACATACAAACAAGCATTACAAGAAAGAAAGTAATATTTACAAATAATGACAAGCATAATGAAAACCAATTGTCAGTGTATAGTTACTTTGATTTACACATTTGAAAAGGAGTGGGAGGAAGTGAAAACTTACTAAATCCCATTACTTCTCCTTAAGTCGCTGAGTAAAATGAAACCGCTTCCTTATATAGATAAAACCAAAACTTTTCTAAGTATACCATTGTTATTACCTTTTAACTTTGCCACACAAAAATAACCCATGTATATGTTTGATAGTTATTACCAAATATAAATCTTATAACAACCTATCTTAGCATAACCCTTAGTATAATTTACCAATTATCCATGACTTACAAGTATAAACCAGTCCAAATGTATTATACATATATATAATACCAATTGTCTTTGCCTTACAAATATAAATATAATATTAATATTATATATATATGTTCATCAACTTGTCCTGCTATCTTTTTACATTTAAATAAGTCAAGCATATGAATATTTGTAATTCTACCAGTATAGACGTGTGTACACCCCCATACCCATAAATGAAAAAATACTTATTTACATATTAATACATTGTTAATTAGGTAAAAATATAAAGTAGAGAAAGTAAACAGTAATCCCTGTCAACAACTGGTGAATGTCAAACCCCTTCTTCAACCCTGTACCTCATGAATATCATGTCTTCATACCGTATTTTGAATTGGTGTATGCTTGGACTTTGTGTGAACTCACAGAATGCACTACATTACAGTAGTAGTAGTTCTAGGTACTGGAACTTGTGCATGTGTTGTCAAGATGAACTTGAGAATTATGTGTTTCTCCTTCAGTTTTAATCTTTGTTGCTGGTGAAAAACAAGATGCTTTCACTTCTTGGGGCCTCTTGAAATGATTCAACTTAAACCAGAGTGTCTGCAGGTCCTTATAAAGTCTTAAAATGTCTTACATATGTCTTTGAATTTGTGAGGTCTTAATGCCACCAACATTGAATCTAGTTTCTGTATCCATCTTTACATGACTTTATGTCAAAATGAGTCAAGCCCTTCTGTGTGAAATTCTACGTTTTCGTTTAAAGTCTTGAAACCTATCACTGAACCTAACACTTTCTTTTAACTCTTTAATTGGACATACCTATTGGCAAAATGTTGATTGACCTAACTCACTCTAATACACATATTTCTATATAAAATCTACCTCTGCATGGGACCACATATATATCACTTACCTTTATATGTACCTGCAATGCTTGAACAAAAAAAATATTTGGCCCAAAATTTGTCTTAAATGATCTTGGAATGGTCTTTAAAAGCATTGCATAGTAGTGATATACAACATGTAAACAATCTCAGACACTCTTTGTTGGAACTTCTCATTAACATATTGAACATGTGACGAGCAGTTGTAATTAGACATTGCTTCATTTTAAGGGGTAATATAAAGGTTAGGTTATTAAACTACAAACAGTTTGCATTTGTTGAAATTAGCCAATTGCTGCTAACTGTGGTGGCCCTATCTAGAACCAGTGTTTGGTATTTCTGTTCTGGGAACGTGCTGGTGCAATGTGGTGATGTCCGTAGAATCCATTCCCTTTGTAGATATTGGGCTCATTCTGAGGTAATGAAAACACAACTGTTTTTATTTTCAGGTCAATATACACTAAAGAAGTCATCCTCATCATATGATATTCCATGTCTGCCAATGTATCCCCCTAAATCCTACACACTGGACCTTTGAAAGGGGCAATTTTCTGCATAATGAGTACTTTTACTGTCTTCTTACTTCATGTACTTCTACTATCTGCAGCATGATAGCCTTGGCCCTAAAAGCAGGAAGCAACCATGACAACCCTCCAGACCCTCAGACCAGGCATTACCGTAGAACAACTTTATTAACGCCTACACACAAAACTAGCATCTCATACCTTTCGTTGAAAGCAGTCAATTCATCTCAGTCCCATTAGAGCAACTCCACAACTACTGCATCTATGACATCAGCAATAGACAGAGCTGTACAATTTATTGTTTGGAAGAGTAATAATGTTTATATTTTTGGAGTTTTGGAGTCAGTTTAGATTGAACACAACTGATGAGATGTTACAAGGTTTCTAACTAAAGGTGTTGAAACTACAACTTCAGAATATAGAATTGACAGATTGATTTCAACCCCTTTGCTTTGCTATAAGGAGAGGTAATACCATTTTCCATACACAATTGTGCAGGCCTTTATGAACTATTGACACTGTTGATATCAGTCCACTCAATAGCACTCATTCAGTAGTGATGCTGCAGAAGCAAAATCACTTCATCCACCTCTTCATCCGGCACTAAACTTCTGGCCCCAGGCGGGAATCTGGTCAACTCATTCAGTTCAATGAACCACACTGTAAACAGAAACTGACTCATTTGCTATCGATTACTGCCAACAAAGCAGTTGTGATGCTACAGTTCTATGTGCCAGAACCCGGAGTGAGCCGTTCAAAAGAATGATATAACTGATGCTAAAGCTACATTTGTAAATTAGAGCACCATTCAAAACATACAAGTAACAGGGTTGAATGTGTGAATGCAGGTCATCATCGAGTGGGCTCATCCTATCAAAAATATTTGGTTCAATTAGTGATGTCTGGCTTCCCAGAATGAGCAACCACAACAACACCCACTCAACACCAAATATGGCAGTGCTGTGTTCAATTAGTTTAAACATAAACTCGAACCATGATTCAGTGGCTATTAATAGCTCACTCACTTTTACTCCCACAGCTGGATATGGAAAACTCTGAAAAAATAACAGAAGCCAACAATGACATGACAAACGTTTCAGATAACTTTATTTGTCCCATATTAACAAAAATTCAAATATGAAGCTGGACTTCTGCACTAGCGACGGGGCATTATCTCACAGCAGGTGGAGGGGTGATGAGCTTGACGGAAAACTCAATGGGCAGGCTCTGCAAAAAGAGAGAAGCACATTAAGTGACATGTTTAACAAAACAAATCAACAAGATAAACCCTGTCCAACTAAGCATGGGCAGACTCGGGTGAATTTCCTCCAGCATCAAACTGTCAGCCAGTAATGACCGGATTAGGGATCTGTCAGTGACATCTAGAGGAGAACATATGTAGTTGCACAACATCTGAAATGGGACTCTAGCCTTAACTCTTTTTCCTGCAGCATAGCTCATGTTCACAGCTTCAACTTTTTTCCACAAACACAAAAAGATTGCCAAATACCAGTATGTAGAGGCTGATGACTGATGTCTTACCTAACCACTCTAACACCTGTCTTTAAAGTGAACACACCTTTATTTTATTGAATAAGTACACAAGCTTGGTTTAACTACTAATAATGCAGTATATTTAGCTTATAGATAACATAACCATCAGGATTGGTTATTTAAATAATGCAGCAAATTCAATAGCTGATAAATAATAAATAAATAAGTAAATAAATAATCCAGGCCAATACAAATCAGGAGACATTAGGGACCACTCCCAATGCTAAAGCAAAATCTGATGGTATGCTTTATATCAGCTCACAGTCATTATTACCAAAATCCTTTATACATAGTATGAATAAACAAAATGTTTGTCTACTTACTGTCCTTCACAGCCTTTTTGCCTGGAATAGAAATAAACAGATACATCAGTCACACAGTGCATTTCAAATATGTAACTACAGCTGTTTGCCTTTATTCCGCACTATGAAAGCCACATTTATTTCACATCTGCTCATAATTTTAGTATCCTTATATTACAATATATTGTATAGCAACTGAGCACAGTTGACCATGTTGTGCTAAATTTATTGGTGATTTTTACAGATTCATCAACTCACCTTGTACAAAGAAATTCAAATACTGATTGCATTTCAATTTAATCTATTCAAACCTCTTAACTTATGTCAACTACAATGATGAAAAAAATTTGAACACAGATGTCATATTCAGTAAAAAAAAAAAAAAAAAAAAAGTCAAACTACATAACTCTGTTTGTTTTATAGACTGTTGGTGCACCTAGTGTACAAGTCAGTGAGTCCTGAACTCACCTCCATAGGAAATTTTGTAGTACGCGTACGTCATGATGGCAAGGCCTGGCCAAACCTCCACGTATGCCTTAGTGTAGTAAGGGCCAACCTTGGACCACCAATTTTTAAACGCGACTCCAAACATCTGTGGGAAAAAGCAACAGCATAATGTCAGTCTCATACCAGTGCTCAT